TTATTATCTTAGAAAGCAAACCTGTTATGTAAAAAACAGCCAAAGTAGTGCATTTAAGTTTGTGATTACAGAAATATGCTAATTAAGTATCTTGTTGCATTTTTTAATGTTTTGCTATTCTGCTACAGTCCATTATTGCTCATAGGCACAGAAAGCGAGGTAAATAGGGGTCTCTGCAATTCACAGCATATGAAGTATTGTGCACCTGAAAGAAGCAATTTTCCTTTTTTTCAGTTCAGTATCTAATTAGACCTCTCTATTTTCAAATCCTGCAACCTTTTTTTTTTTTTTTTTTGGCAAGAAAAGCTAGGAAGGACAGAACAAGTCTGTTCTGCATTTGGGGAGAAAAATAAATAAAATCTGAAAAGCAAGCCTAGGCAATGAACATAATCTTCCAGACTGTAACCATATCGAAACCTATTATTCTCTTGAGTGTAATTCAAGATACACATCCTAGTGTAAACTCTAAGGTTTGCAAACTCCAGATACTTTAAATAATAACAACGCACGATGTCCCTTCCTCAACGTCTTCATACTTAGAAGGTTAGCTAAAAGCATTGTGGAGTACCTGCAGCAAAAGGACTGCGCAGTCTTTCACCATAATTTCAGTGTGCTGCTTAATTCACTGAGGGACAGCAGAGTTTGCAAATGTTTACACCATTACCCAATTAACTAACAATATGGCTCCTACATCTGTCAACAAACAAAGCTGTTGTTGCTTTGTTTTAGCTCCTTGGCATTTTCTGTTCATATGGGTCGCCATTGTACTTAATTATCACACCATAACCCTTCTGCAGCTTCTACTTTGTTATCTGTGGTTTGTAAATATGTTGTTTATTATGAAGAATAGAAGCCTTATTAGTGACATGCCTCCTACCAAAAGAAATGGTTTCTCTTGTAAATATATGAAATACAAGACCTAAGATGCTTTGTAACTTATAGTACTTTAAAACAGAATTAGAAACTAAAGAATGATATATAATACAGATCGAAGGATCCTGGAAGAGCTGTAGCCCACAAAGGTGTGTCCAGTGTAGTGTTCTAATGAATTTTATTCACTTAAACTTATGTGAATTATTTCATAATGCAAAGTATAAAATACCTTAATATTTAAATCTGACTACCTTGTTTCATTACCATCAGGATAAATTGTGGAGTCCACTTCAGTGCTTTAATTAAATAATACCTTTATTATTTAAAGATTTCTCCTATGTTGTTAGCAATTACACAGGAAATAACTTAAGCATGTGTTTATATACTGAATCTGATTTGATGCTGCTGAACTCAATGAGATTACATAGGTACCCACGTGGTGAAACCTTTCTTGATTAAGGTTGCAAAATTCACTGAGTTAAGCATTGAGCATTTGTTAAAGGTCTAAATAAAGGCTAAAAGCACAGTGTTTCTCTGTATTTTTCAAGTCCTACAATTAGTGACTTTCTACCAGCCATATGCACACATTCCAAGAGTCCACTCACATGTCACATGGTGATACCAGCTGATGAGGTGAATGTATTTTTAAATATATATTTTGTGGTCCTGCTAAGGTAAGTACTTTACATTATAATGAAATGTAAGCTAAAACCCCTTAAAAAGAGGCTCTAAGCTGTTCCAAGTTTATATGGTGAGGAGGGTGGCAGAGGAAGGACACAATGTTCAGATGCTAAGTATAACTCAAGTGACAGCAAAATTCCTAATATTCAAGCTCACAGAATTCTGTAGAATAACATGCATGTGAGTTCAGGACTGTCCCAGTGCCAAAGCAGATAGCACCCTGGGAGTTTTCGTCTTCAGGCAAATGACTTCCAATGCAAACTTTTGCTCTCCTCTCTTCATGAAAGACTTTCTAGCTGCATGCCCAGAGGGTGGTAACAGGACCTTATTTCTATCAGTGCAAGATCTTGCCATTGAGCTGCAAAATGTTTCGGATTCACTGAAATAGGTTTAAGGTGGTAAAACAACACTTTTCTTCTAACTAGGCATACAGTTTTGTAAGACCTTGCACTTTGGTGCACTGGAGCAACAACATCTTTTAAAGAGCTTTGTTATATAACCAATGTTGGTTTGGTGCACAGGAAATTTATTAATTTAATGTTTATATGAAGTCTGTGGTAATTATTTCAACTAAGCACTAGCTAGTTGGTTTGAAGTACTTCTGTGGCACTTCGAAGTTTCAATGATTTAAGACTGTGCAAAACCAAAAGATAGTAATGATAACTCTTACACTTTTCCTGTAAGAATGTAGTAGCTACTTACACTTTATTCTGAATAAATTCCTTGGGCTTTTTAATAACCCAATAACGAAAATTAATACTACTTTAAACAACATTTAGTACATTTTTATAGCAAAGTCTTTTTCCTCCTAGAAGAATTTGTGTATTAGTCTTGTCTTCACCTTTGCTGACCTATCTGTTCTATTACACATTCACATCCTGAACAGCTGTACTTTTACCATTTCAAAGGTGTGGTTCCTTACCCTCCCTAACTCTGCAGGGAAAAGATAAATAAATTAAAAAATGGCTTAATGCCCAGGAAGGTAATTTAAAAATAAAGAATCGAATACACAATTATTATGACACTTACACAAGCAGTAAATATCACACCCTTCACCTTTCTCTACACCCTAGGACAAGGATCTGATTCCCGAGTAGCACAGCCTCTATGCCACTTACATACGCATGAATACATTTAATGAATCTAACGGACAAAGAGTTCTTTTACTCTCTTTCCTAATCCTCCTAAAGTATAAATGCAATAGATATTGCTTAAAGGCACACCTGGTAAAGTACCAGATCTGTTTAAAAAACTATATTTTCAGAATGACACACAAACAAATACAGTGCGTCCTTTCTACCTATTGAAAT